ATTTCTGATACCCTCACTTTATTAACCTTGTCCTTTGAATTTGACTACCGGCGTATTATTCAATGTAACTGTTGTATCAGCTTCTTCATTGAAATTTATGTAAGGTGCACGTATATTGACGTTAAGTACATTATATATTTTTTATTATTTCATATTTATATGGTTAGATTATTTTGACATGGGACATATAAAAACCAAAAGATATGATACGGAACTCGTACCAACTAACTCTTGTTTCGGTGGTTTTGGCTCCATGGTCTCGGCGTATCGGGCCCGATATGCAGATGAAGATGGAGGCCGCTGAGGAAGGTGCAAATTGTGGTCAGGTGTGCCTTCCCTAAAAAAAACGTTGCTGTGTTCAATATACGATGAATATGGAACACCATTGGGTTTTAGTCGGTGCTAGTCCGACATAGCCCGTTCTAGACTCTGCGAAGCAGAAATGCGTAGCGACTATGACAAGTGTGGCAAATACCCTCGCTTTGAGGCATTCTATAGAGGAGGCCTATGTTCAGCTGTGGGCTTCTGATGGCTTAACTTACACAGTATGTAACACTTATGGGTATGTAAAGAAAGGTAGGTAGGTAGAAAAGTAAATCTTGCATTTATGATATTTTCTAACTTCCTCATTAACTGCCTCGTTAGTGTTGTGGTCATAGACACGGCTGCTGATCAGTGGTTCCGGGTTTGAATTAGAGATCAAGACAAAATAAGTCATTGGTCTTTCCGTCAGGAACTTCTCAGTAGCAGCCCAGAGTCCGGTTGTCGAGCCGACCGGGCTCATAACCGGAATGTTCGCTCACGTTCTCACAGAATACCAGCGTAAAGTAGCAGTTTAATGCTGCTGTGTTTCGTATGGTGAGTGTAGAAAAACGGAGAACCGTTTTAATAGAAACGAGGCATTTTATCTTAGTTCTTAGGATGACAATGCACCTGTATTTTGATTCTTATACGAAGATATATTGTGGTAATGTCTATGGACTACAGCATCCATTTACCATCAGGTTGACTGTGTGAACGTTTGTCACCCTTATTCTATATAAAAAGAGACTTATCGCAGATTACCGAAATTTGGCCTGGAGGACATTACATTATTTACGATATTTTAAAAAGAACATGCCATATTTACAATCACCAAAGTTTAAATATATTTAATGTACTCATTATATTTCTAATGTAAAAAATAATGACAAAATTGTCATTTGATACAAAAGATAAACTCTTGATCAATATAGTTAATATCGTGAGTAAAGGTTTTGTTTCTGAATAAATAGATTGATCTTTTCCCCGAACCCTAATCACAACTTCAACCTCTAAAACCTGTTATTAAATAAAGTCATTATCGTTAAGTTTAGCTTGTGACAACGAACGAAGCGAGGAGGAGTGTAAACAGCTCATTTACATATTAACACTTTGAATATCATGATTAGTTTAGTCTTTATATGAATATTTATATACTCCGCACGTGTGTTTGTTACTGAACTTCCCCTAAACGGCTGGACCGATTTTGATCAAAAAAATGTAGTGTGTGTGAGTCACACTGGATCCGCTAGATGGTGCTATTGTCGAGTTCCAGAAATCACCTATGCGAAGTCGGGGCATAGTAATATTAAAATATTTAGAGACTGATGAAAAATCACGAATAGGTCTATTCGGTTAGGTCGTCGTTTGGTTTCCATGTGGTTCGCTTTTGCTTTCGTTAAAGTTAATTGGTTTAGTTAAAACTGAGTTTATAAATCCTGAAATCGTTTAAAAGGATCGTTGTTACCATAAGAAAAATAAGATGTTTGGTCTGTGTGTATTCTGTGAAAATCGCATGTGAACCGAGCGACTCGAGCGTGTTGCGGAATACAAAGTGCTAGAAACAATTATACCTACAGACTTACTATATAATATATAATTTGGGCCTGTGTTTGTCGTAATCGTAAAGGGCGACATAAGGACACTGAAACAGCAGATGGCTAGCAGAATCTTTATGGTTTCTTATATTTATAGCTTAAATGAAACGAATTTCACATATTTTATCGCGTTTAATTTTAACTTTTTAATTCTTGACGTTTGGGACGTCCCCCCATACCCCCCCCCCCCCTTCCGAAACTAACTACAACGTGTAAGTGCTTTACGGCACACTTGTAGTTAGTTTCATTTAAACAGCAGTATCTTTCTATTTACAATTCAAAATTATAAAAACTGAGGTTGCCAATCCATATTCAAAGCGTCCTCCCTAAGAGGCAACCTACGGTATACGGAATTTCATAGGTTGTAACGGATGGATACAATTTTGAGATAAAATATATAATTGATTTTAGGATTAATACTTTGACCAAAGAGTCTGTAAAACAATCCAAAAAATTATATGAAAAAAATTCTCTTAAACTAAATATTATTGAAGAACTTGAAAATAAATACCACGATTGGCATAAAATCTACACAGATGGATCAAAGAGTGCTAAGTTGCAAGGAGCAGCTTTTTTCGACTCATCTCGAGCAATTTCTAGATGTTATAAAGTTACTAATGACGTTTGTATTATGACCCTTGAACTCATTGCAATATCCGAAGCCCTAAGGTATGCCGCAAGCTATAACTGGGACAAAATTATTGTATACTCGGACAGCAAAACTGCTATCCAACACTTGGCTCGATCCGCCTCTGGAATCAGAGGTGTTTCGATAGCCTATACCATACTTTCCCAACTATATGAGTTCAGTCTACGCGATATCTGTGCAAAAGTGCAATGGATTCCATCACACATTGGTCTATTGGGTAATGAGGAGGCAGATAGATTAGCGAATTCTGCTTGTGTAAATGGTGTAGAGTATAATATTAACCCCTGTTACTCAGAAGTACTGCCAAAATTCAGAAATTTATGTCATACCGAATGGAAAGAGTTTTTCAATGAACGCTCCAAAACTAAAGGTATTTGGTACAAAACGATACAGAGTGAGCCACCCCGAATACCCTGGTTTATAGATACAAAAATAAATAGAAATATTATTAAAATAATGTTTAGAATAAGAACAGGTCACATCCCATCAAAAAAATTTTCTTATCTGATGAAAAAAACTGATTCACCTAATTGTGAAACGTGTGGAGTAATAGAAGACTTACATCATTTTTTAATGGAATGTGAGCGGAACCGAGGGGCAAGGGAATTATTTATAAGGACCTATAAGATAAATATGTACAATATGGGTATTGCGCAAGGCATTCTACATGCCCCCACCTCGGATATTGCATTGAGTATGTGCAGATTAATAATAAATGTATAGATTTTAAATTAGTTATAATGGGATTGACATATTAACAAATAAAAATCCCTAAATAAATAAAGAGAAAAAAAAAAAAAAAAAGGATTAATACTTGTGCTTGTTTCATTGTAATTCTATATGTAGTAATTATTTTAGGACTTTGAAATTTATAAAATATCTATGACAGAGTTAAAAACGTTAAAAATTAAATGAACACTTTGCACCGTGAACCACTGAACGGGCTTATAAAATAAAACGGAAGAAATTATTAATTAAGTACTAGAAGTAGTTAGACATCGAACCATGTCACGAAGTATCTTACCAAATTTTATCTCTCAGTGCACTTAATCTTAAATATGATCTAGCAGAACTTTTTGTCTTAAAAGGAAAAGATCTATTAGCTGTAGAAGTAATTTACCATTCAAAAGATATCAGCTCGTATGTCACATTGATATGAAAAAATGTGGTATTTTTACATAAGAGCTTGTAAAACTGCTCCTTCATTTTCGGGACATTACAGCTTATAATTACTGATTATGCTATCGGTTGCTAAATAAAACTTGGTTCTACTTTACGTTACTACTTTATTAACTCACACTTTAGTCTAATCATACAACAATGTTTTAAGATTACGATTACACTCATTTATCATTACGATTACTTATTTCACATGACACACTAATAGTTTAAACAAAGATAGTATAATAAGATTTATTAAGATGTAAGATTATGAATCTGATTACTGCGCAGTATACTTAAGTTTCTTTATTTATCGAGAGCCCGCATAGATAACGAGTATAGACAACCCAATGGAAAACTAATCCGAGGCCCTGTGTTGCCAGGTTAATAATTAAATATTACTACGTTAGATTACATTCGGCCCTTCCTGATGGTTGCCGCGACCTCGCAAAACTAGTAATGAAGCAAGATCAAAAATAAACTATACATGGCTAAATAAAAATAGTATCGTATAACTACAGAATCAATTATCTAAAGTATTATCATTACATAATATAAACACACCATCAAATTTTTCTTTGACTTTCTGTGGCCGTACAAAAAGTATCTTCTCAATAAATTACATATAATCAATCATCAATCTCACAGAACTTCAGAGACAGACCATAGCCACGCAGGGCAACTCTTTTTAGTAACCAATACTTCAAATCAGTCTCACAGGACTCCAGGGACAGACCACGGCTACGCAGGGCGATCCTTATTAGTAACCAATACTTCAAATCAGTCTCACAGGACTCCAGGGACAGACCACGGCCACGCAGGGCGACCCTTATTAGTAACCAATACTACAAATCAGTCTCACAGGACTCCAGGGACAGACCACGGCCACGCAGGGCGTCCCTTATTAGTAACCAATACTTCAAATCAGTCTCACAGGACTCCAGGGACAGACCACGGCCACGCAGGGCGACCCTTATTAGTAACCAATACTTCAAATCAGTCTCACAGGACTCCAGGGACAGACCACGGCCACGCAGGGCGTCCCTTATTAGTAACCAATACTTCAAATCAGTCTCACAGGACTCCAGGGACAGACCACGGCCACGCAGGGCGACCCTTATTAGTAACCAATACTTCAAATCAGTCTCACAGGACTCGAGGGACAGACCACGGCCACGCAGGGCGACCCTTATATTCGTTATTAAATGAATATTATTAATTTTTAAATAATATTTATCATTCATCATTATTTTTATTTTTATTTATTTATTTATTTATTTATTTATTTTATTAGGCTCTCACAACAATGAGTACACTGTTACATACATATGGAATGGCATCACAATTATTAAAACTAAATGTCCCATTACTTATAGGAGGGCACCACATGCATAAAAAAAGAGACTTTACGTTGATTGTACAACAGTACATAGGTACAATTTAACTCCAATAAAATTTTAATTTAAATTAATAATGAAGAAACTTCCATTACACCTTAGCCTTAATCGCCGATAACTACTTTTTTGATGCCAGCCATCGAGGTTGAGAATAGGTCTATTCTGCTTTGGTATTCTTTATATAATGCAAACATTCTTGTTAAGGAACAATGTGATCTTAAATTAGTTCGACCTTGAGGTGCAACAAATAATTTGCTATTACAGGATCTAGGCAACCGATGCGGTACATTAAAATTTATCTTACTAAGAAGATCGGGACAGTCCAAAAATCCAGTCACCAATTTCTTTAAGAACAATAAATCAATAATTTTTCTTCTCGTTTCCAATGATGGGATTTTAAAATGAGACAGTCTTTCTTCATATGACTTGAGCGTCCTGGCCATATTACAGCTACGAGTCAAGTGCCACAGAAACCTTTTTTGTACTTTTTCAATGCGGTCTATTTGTATTCTGTAACTGGGTGACCAAACTACACTGCAATACTCCAAGTGACTCCTTACTAGTGAGTTGTACAATATTATTTTTGTGGCTGGTTTTTTAAAATTCCCACTCTCCCTTAGCACAAACCCAAGCATCTTTGATGCTTTTAGTACACAGTCATTTATATGTAAATCAAATTTAAGTTTTGGATCCATCTGAATGCCTAGGTCTTTAATTACATGAACTTCTTCAAGCAATTCATTATATATACTATATCTAGAATTGACGATCCCTCTGTTTCTGGTGAATCTGATATGCTTGCATTTTTTTATATTTAAAGACATTTTGTTTCGGTCACACCAATCTGCAAGCCTATCCAGATCACTTTGAAACAGCAAGATGTCCCCCTGATTCCTGAACATTTTAATAGCTTTAAGGTCATCAGCAAATAAGTGTGCTTCAGAGTTTTGGAAACACTGTTCAATATCATTCATAAATAATGTGAAAAGATAGGGCCCCAAATGGGATCCTTGCGGGATTCCAGACGATGCAGCATAAGGACTTGAGCAAATACCGTTCAATACAACTTTCATCTCTCTATCAGTCAGATATGATGCAAACCACCCTAGCAGAGGTCCTGTAACTCCATATAATTGTAGTTTTTCCAACAATATACCATGATTTACTGTATCAAAAGCTTTGCTGAAGTCTGTATATACCGCATCCACCTGTACGCGAGAATCAACGGCCCCGACAAGTGATTCAACATATGATACTAAGTTAGAAGCCGTAGATCTCCCCTTCATAAATCCATGTTGGTTGTTCGACAAATACTGTTTCAGATGCCAAGACAAAATAGGACAAATCAGAGCCTCAAAAACCTTTGCAAGAACAGACAAAATAGCTATTGGCCTATAGTTAGATACAATTGATTTATCATTACATTTAAATACGGGGACAATACTAGAATCCTTCCAAACCGATGGGAAAACTCCTGCCTGTAAAGATTTGTTATATATTAACATTAAAGGGAGTGATATCTCATTAGCCGTTTTACAAACAAAAATGGGTGGAATTAGAAATTGTTATTTATATTGATATTCCATAATTTGCTGACTACTTACTTTAATATGAAAGAAAAAAAGAAGTGAAAAATACTATCAAAATTTATAAAAGAAACATTCATTCGCTTTCTGAATCGGTTTCCATGAGGTCATTTGAAAAGACAAGCCACGGATGAATTTTATCGACAGCAAATACATTTTTATACACTGGTTTTCCTTCTCTTTTTGTAATAGGTGTATCAATAATTTCATATCTGTCATTGCCTAAAACTTTCGATACTCTGTACGGTCCACTACATTTTGGTTGCAACTTTTTACTCTGTCCAGTATGGCTATTTATTTCTCTCTCAACTCTCACTAGATCGCCTACTTGGTAAATCTTGGCCTTTTTGCGAGATTTGTCAAAACGGGCTTTTTGCTTTTGTTGATCTTGTGCTATTTTTAATTCCACATGTTGCCTTATTTCTTCACGGTTCATAATCTCCACAGAGTCAGCTACTACTGAATTCATCATGGCTTCAGAAGATCCTGTTGGAGCGACTCCAAACAAAACTTCGGAAGCTGACTTTCCTGTAGCTTGGTTAATCGTATTATTAAGGCCCCATTGCACTTTTGATATGTGTGTGTCCCATTCACTATCCGGTCTTCCATGGTTAGTAGCTGTCAAAGCGTTAACAATAGTCCTGTTGTATCTTTCTATTTGGCCGTTCGCCCGTGGAGTTGCCACGGCGTTCAAGATGTGCAAAATACTTTTCTCTTTAACAAAACCTGTAAATTTATGACTTGTAAAGCTTGTGCCGCGATCAGTGATGATCCTCCTAGGGATGCCAAATAGAGAGAAATATTCATCAAATACATTTATGGTTAAGTCTTTGTCTTACAATATCTTACTGGCTTGATATAAATAAATTTTGAAAACGCGTCGATTATGGTCATGATATAGGAGTTTCCTTTTTTACTTTTAGGAAATGGTCCGCAATGATCGGCATGCAGTGTGTCAAATGGTATATTTGGTTTCGGAATAGGATGTAGCATACCTTCTTTGGGACCACCTGGAGTTTTATTGTGCGCACAATGTAAGCAAGAACGACAATATTTTTTTACAAATGTCCGCAATTTCTTAAACCAGTAGACCCTGCGCACCCTATCATATATTTTCTCGAAGCCGAAATGGCCAACCTCATCATGATTCATTCGGAGAATTTGCCATCTAACGGATTTTGGGACGACCCAAAGTATGTTAACTTTATCGCCCTTTTTTATTATTCTATATAAGCGGTTATTTTTCAGAATGAAATTGTTTTTAATTTCTACAACGTTGTTGAGTTCTGGGTCTTTAAGAATTTCAATAATGCGCAACAATTCAGGGTCCGCTTGTTGTACAGTTTGCAACCAATCTTGATTAATATCTATACTGAAAATTATTTCATCTTTATATTCAGGAACATCGGATTTTACAGGTTGTCGGCTTAATGCATCCACATGGGTCATTTTCATCCCTGAGCGATATTCGATATTGAAATCAAATTCCTGCATCGCTATATACCATCTCGCTACTCGAGGTACTAAGTCCTTTTTCATCATAGTGCTACGCACAGCATTACAATCTGTTACTAGTTTAAAATTAACACCCACAAGATACACTCTGAATCGCGTTAAGGCGGTAATAACGGCTAAAGTTTCCAATTCATAAGCATGGAACTTTTGTTCCTCCGGAGACGTCTGACGGCTGTAATATGCAACAGGTTGTAGACCATTTCCATCGTTCTGTAGAAGTATAGCACCGATTCCCCACTTACTGGCGTCTGTATGCACTTCTAACTTAGCATTTGGGTTATATAAAGTGAGAACAGGTCGACTAATCAGCTTTTCTTTGAGTTCTGAAAAGGCTTTTTCTTGTTCCTTTTCAAAACGCCACGGTTCATTTTTCTTTGTCAAGATCGTTAAAGGTCTAGCAATTATAGAGAAATTTCGTATGAACTTTCTAAAATAACTTGCCAAACCAATGAACTGACGAACTTCGTGAACGTTTCTAGGCTCTGGGAAATTTTTCACAGCATCAATTTTGTGTTGACCTGGTCTTATGCCATCTCCTGATATCTCATATCCAAGATAATTCACCTGAGTATGGAAAAACGCACATTTTTTAATGTTTAATGTAAGTTTAGCTTCCCGAAGCATTTTAAAAACATCCTCCAGATCTTTCAAGCCTTCTTGAACAGACTTCGAAGGCACTAATAGGTCATCCATATATGCATGCACTTTATTATTACCGGACTTTTTTATCATAGTGTTCATGACTCGCTGAAATACCCTCGGCGCATTAGCTAAGCCAAAAGGCATGCTATTATACTCGTATAATCCTTCTGGAGTGATGAACGCTGTTAGATGTTTTGATCTTTCAGATACAGGCACCTGGTAATAACCGGATGCTAAGTCTAAGCTGGTAAATATTTTATTACCACCCAAAGCATCCAGCTTATCCTCTATGCGTGGCAAGGGATATTTATCCTTTAATGTTTTACGATTGAGTGCTCGATAATCAACGCATAACCGTTTTTGCCCATTCTTTTTACTGACCAATATGACAGGACTAGCGTATGCAGAAGAACTATGTCTAATAATTCCATTATGAAGTAGTTCTTCAATAATTTGTGCTAGTTGTTCTTTTTCTTTTAAAGGCATTCGGTAAGGATTGTAAACAATCGGTATATCATCGCTAACAGTTATAACCATCTCTGCGAGATCAGTGTTACCCAATTCCGAAATATCTAAAGCAAAGCAGTCTCTATACTCCAATAACAATTTATGTAATTTACTCAATTGATCACTACTTAGTTGCATTCCTATGTTGAGTGCTTCTAAAAGATTATGTTTATTTTTGACATTTTTAGTTGCAAAATCCACCTCTGTTATACCTACATAAGGTTCATCAATTTGTTTGAAAATTAATCCTCTGGCTATGGTGCTATCCTTTTCAAACTCAAAGGGCTCATTCATGGTATTTGTTACCATTACATACCCTTGACCGTCATTAAAGCTATATAATCCCGGTAGGACAATATATTGGCAATTTTTGACATAATGATGACCACCTGGTAAATATAGGGCTCCTGAGAAATAGGGATTAGTATTAACCAGCACTGGACTAGTGCTAGTGCTTTCTATTGTAGACTTTTCTAGAATTTTAATAGTGTATTTGGTGACATCAGTGACACATGGCAAAGGTGCTTCGTAAAAAATTAAGTCATCAGAAGTTTTATGTAGAACAATATGAGGCAATTCCGAAAACGTTTGTCCAATAATAACTGGACTATGCATGTAGTGATCAGGAACAATCACCACTTCAATTTCCGCATCAATGCCTTCCAAGTTTATGCTCGCTTGGCTAGTACCTAGAGGTTGCACGCACGAATTACCAAAACCTTTTAAGGTCGGCAGGACTGTATGAGTATCCCAGAAGTGCAAAATCTCTTTCGCATCACTTTCCCTAATAATTGTGCAACTACTGCCTAAGTCTATGAAAGCAAGTTTTTCAATGCCATTTACTTTTACAGTCTTGAAATATTTTTGACCTTTTGATGAATTTGAATGGCCAACCACAATTTTGTTAACAGTATGTTGAGGTGGCTCCTCTTGCAATAGTGGTTTGTTACTGTCATTTAAGCTGGGTAAAGCAAGTATTCTACTCCTGCAATCACGAGCTAAATGTCCGACCCTACTACAAACATTACACCTTTTTGCAGTCTTCAAACATCGAGATCTTACATGCCCTATTTCACCACAGCTATAACAAACTACATCATTCTTAAAAACATCAGGAGCACTTCGAATTGGCATTGGTTTGCTTTCTTTATTTAAAAATGGTCTACGGTTTATATGCCGAACACTATCATTCTGAGAAAGTGTTCTGAGGTAGGCAAAAAGCTGTTCTGGTTCACTGAAGCGGCAAGCATTAACACTCATTCGTATAAACTTGTCGTCAATTCCATGCAATAAACATCCTACCGCATTAGCACCAGTTAATTGACATCTGTTAATTACTAACATTTTCTCATAATAATACACATCCAATGGTTGTCCAAGTCTACATCGCACTTGCAACATCTTGGTTAATAAATCACCATAATTTTCAGTTGAAGGGAAAGCCAACTTTAACTTCTCAATCCACTGCTCCCATGTATACATTAGTGTTGGCAAACCTTGGTACCAGCGTTTTGCCAGACCAACTAACTTAGGTAATGCATAATGGCAGGTCTGTGTGTCATTCCATGCATATATTGTGGCACATTCATTAACTTTATGAATCCAAGATTCAATATTTTGTAAACTGTCACTTGGATCAAATTCTGGTATAACATTAAGATTGGCTGTGAAACCATGCAGCCATGAGTTATTCATTGAATTATTAAGTGCAGAATTTTGGGGGTTATTAACAGTAGTAGAAGTTATATTATTGGATGTCATATTTGGTAATGGTGGTGGAGTGTATGTCCGCTTACATCTACTATGTTTCTTCTTATTATCCGTTTTGCCTTTTCTGGAGTGTTGATTATATTTAAGTTTCTTCTTCGAATAGCCATCACTGCCTGATTCACTAGTCGATGAGGAGCTACTACTGTCAGAATCACTTGACGAATAATGCTTTTTGTGTTTTAAATGCCGCTTATGTTTTCTAGAACGACCCATGGCCACCGATAATAAAAATATTATATTTTCCTAGTTTTGACAAATTAATCTCACTTTAGTACTTCAGTAATCTTATTTAAATGTGATTCAGCATATATTCATTAATCCTAATACCTGTACTAATATTATATAAACAAAAGCCTTAATGTACTCTACTATTCCTATAAAAATATTTTCCTAATAAACTGTTTCATAAATGTGTTCTTAATAAGTAGTGTTAAATTTAACTAATTATACAATAACTAATATTACAACATAAAACCCTATTCTACTTTAAAACTATACAGAGTACCTATGCTTTTCTATATTTAAACAACTGTTAGGCAGGTTAGGGTTCAAATATGACTATTTATGAGTTATATTTACCAAAACACAAAATATTTACCAAAACATAAAAATACAAAACATGAGTATCAAGTAAACAAATGTACCAATTATTTATTGAAGAATCATAAATTGCAGTAAGACATTTATAATGCTAGTATAAAGCTTTGGCTTAACTATAAATTAATACCCAAATCTTAAGAGGTCACTATATTTTTAATGATTCTTGAACTTTTACCACTTGCCACTATCAAAATTCTCACCAAATTATTTGTCAGGAAAGGATAACACTTATTTATAGTGTATTACACACAACACCATAAAAGTTCTCAAAGAGTTAAAAATATCACTTGGATAAGAAAGTCACAAACCTTGCATAGGGCCTCTTGTGAGTCGCAACCGAGAGCCCCAATTATTACTTACAGTATGTGATCAGGTAATTTAAAGGCGTCTTTTTTTCATCATCCCACTTCTGAATTGTAAAACTGCTCCTTCATTTTCGGGACATTACAGCTTATAATTACTGATTATGCTATCGGTTGCTAAATAAAACTTGGTTCTACTTTACGTTACTACTTTATTAACTCACACTTTAGTCTAATCATACAACAATGTTTTAAGATTACGATTACACTCATTTATCATTACGATTACTTATTTCACATGACACACTAATAGTTTAAACAAAGATAGTATAATAAGATTTATTAAGATGTAAGATTATGAATCTGATTACTGCGCAGTATACTTAAGTTTCTTTATTTATCGAGAGCCCGCATAGATAACGAGTATAGACAACCCAATGGAAAACTAATCCGAGGCCCTGTGTTGCCAGGTTAATAATTAAATATTACTACGTTAGATTACAAGCTGATTTAGCGGCCTAGCGGTCGCCGTCAATTTTACAGTACGTGAGCAACTCGAGCTCAATTCCCACCGGCACTATAGAAATTATTAATTAGTAATTTTAAGTGCTGATATACCACATACCCGGTGGCGAAGAAAAACAACATACAGATTAATAATATATCAATGAACAAGTGAAGTACGCCAAAATACACAGGACCATATATCTGAATATTGCACCTTATCTGTCTCAGAGATATGAGGAGCCCTGTGCTCAGTTGTGTTCGTGTGTAGGCTGTAATTTGTACCTTAATTTTATCTTTACACTATGATATTTTCACATATCATACAACACAACATAAATAAACGTTGCTGGTGTACCTACATCACTTCATTACAATTTTCTCCGTCACAGCCACGCATCCACTCATTATGAGAGGCGTTTGAGCAAAACTAGACAAACGCCTGAGTACACATTAACAGTTGCATAATGATAAAATAAATTAAACTGGTTTGCATTTTCACTTTAATTAGGTGTGCCTTTGTAGGCTTTAACAAGTATTATAGCCATACGTTGTTTAATCTAGAACTAATAATCGTGACTATGTTTAAATATACTCGTAGTTTATACGAGTTAGAGCCGTTCTGCAGTGTATTGTACATACGAGCAAACTAATCGAAAATGGTGCCTAGAGCACTCACGAATTGCCTAGTCCCCCGGACACGTCGCGCGTCTCAGCATGTCTTCCAGAGGTCCCCTGTTCCGGGGTGGAATGAGTACATACTCATTCTACCCCGGATGCCGTGCCTTCATGTGTGCCTCGCGTATGTACGCGAGGCACACATGAAGGCACGGCATCCGGTTCGATCAAATGAAAAGAACGCGAACTATTTTTAAAAGTAGGTTAAGATTTTGCCACAATTCCGCTGATAAAATAATCTTAGATAAGATTTCGGCATCTTGTTTAAGTAGAAACTTTAGTCAATTTTGGAAAGATACGGGAAATTTACTTAAGACCGGGTCTAAGATTACGGAGTCTGTGGATGGTCTGACGGACACACTGGCGATTGCAAACTTGTTTAGGGACAAATTTCTTGCGTTAAGTGCAGGACACTGTACTTCTCATAATCAATATCTTGTAGCAGATGGCAAGGACATTCATGTATCTGAAGAGATGATCTTTAATGCTCTGCGCCAGATGAAACTAGGAAAGGCGATAGGATATGACAATATAAGCGTGGAACATCTTCGGTTTGGAGGACCATGGGTAATTGCGTTCCTATCTGTATTTTTCAATGCTTGTATAAAGCATGCTTAGTTACCGGTAGAAATGCTAAAAACGGTAATAAGTCCTGTTCTTAAATGTAAATTGAGTAGTTTGGCCGACAGTGGTAATTATAGACCGATATCCATAGCTACAACTTGAGCTAAACTGTTTGACACCATATTATTAGGCGTTATTTCCAAATTTATACAAATTAGCGATGCTCAATTTGGATTTAAAAAAGATAGTTCTACGGATGCGGCGATTTTTACTTTAAAGCAAACTTTTAGTTATTATAATAAGCGGAAAACAAATATTTATGCATGTTTCTTGGACTTAAGTAAGGCTTTTGACAGAGTCAGTTATGATATACTTTGGAGGAAGTTACGTGATGCGGGAGTGCCGTTATTATGTATTAACATATTGATCGCATGGTATAGTAGGCAAATTAATGTAGTAAAGTGGTGTGATACATACTCTGAGGAATTTCTCCTACAATGCGGTGTTAGGCAGGGAGGGCTAACATCGCCTATGCTTTTAATCTGTATGTTAATCAGCTGATCGAGGAGCTTAGAAGCACCAGACTGGGTTGCCACATTGGTTCTGAATGCTTTAATAACTTGAGTTATGCTGATGATATGATGCTGCTGAGTCCCTCTATTGGTGCGCTGCGTGCATTACTCCAGGTATGTGAGAAATATGCAACACCAACAAGTCTGTTTGTTTGCTTTTTAAGAGTGGTAGGGTTCAACCTCATATCCCCCCATTGTATTTGTGTAATTCACAATTGGAGTGGGTAACGATGTTTAAATACCTGGGTCATATTGTTAATCAGGACCTGTGTGATGGTTCCGATATGGACCGCGAGCGTCGTTCCTTGTCAGTGCGTGCCAACATGATAGCTAGACGCTTTCAAAGGTGTTCTTATACCTCAAAGCTGGCGTTGTTTTCAGCTTACTGTCAGCCACTTTACACTCCTCAGCTGTGGACGAATTACACTAAAGAGGAATATCGCAGGCTGAAGGTGCAGTATAATGATTCGTTCCGCGTGTTGTTCCGTCAGCCACGATACTGTAGCGCGTCTCAGATGTTCGCAGAGGCCCGTGTCGTTGGTTTGGATGCGTTGATCCGTCACCGTATCGCGCGGTTTAGAAGTTTTGTTTTTGGGTCGCAGAATAATCTCATCAAAATTATTTGTAATATGTATGCATGTAGTGAAATTTTTAGTAGATGGTCAAATTCATTAAAATGTTATTAATAAAATGTAATAATATCATTGATTAACCAATAATTATAATTAAAATTAAAGGTAAAGTTTAAAAAAAAAATTAATTTTAATTTTGTTATGGATCTGTGTTGTCTGTATTAAATAAATTATTATTATTATTATTATTGAAATGGTAGCGGGTGATATGCATATATTGCTGCCCAATGAAGGGGGACCAACGGAATAAGTGCTTCGCATCTATGGAAGAGTGCTATGGTCCGTAGCCTTGTACGGGGTGCCTGTTTGGGCGAAAAGGCTGGCCATCCGACGCTATAGAGCTAAAATCTACAGTGTGCAGCGGAGGATGGCCATACGGATTGTGCGAGGATACGGCTCGATATCCTTTGAGGCGGCGACAGTTCTGGTTCGCTTTCCACCTTTGGACATATTGGCGGACATGGATGAGTTGGTGTACGACTGGACTTGTGTTGTTCGCCAGAGCGGTGGGAGCGACCCAGATGAGGTGTTCAACGGAGTTAAGCGGCAGGAACAACTTAACGCATTCGCAATGTGGCGCGCTCGTCTCTCTGAAGAGCGATATGTGCGCAAACGCGTTGTTGAAGCAATCCTGCCGCATTTCGAAGCCTGGATGCATCGACAAAAAGGAAGATTCATCTACAGACTTACTTAGACAATGTCCGGGCAAAGGTGCTCCGGTGATTATTTATGTAAGATCGGACGCGAACCGACAGCGAACTGTTTTGACTGCGGTGGGCAGGACCAGGACGCCGTATCCGATAAAATAATCAGTTGTGTCAGAGCATAGGCCAAGGCAACGTCATAAACTCACTGATCCCCGCATAGTTAATTAAGAGTTAAGTGAGCCATTCAGCGTGGTGGGCATTAAAATTGCCAAGGATCACGAACTCTACGGAGGGGATCTGTTGTAGTACGGGGTCGGTTGCCATTTAGACGTAGTCGATGGGTCATTCTGTGTTGTCATTACCGCTGTCGCATCTATAGAGGCACCCGTAGATGGGAGGATGATCATCGCTGTCTACGCACAGCCAAGGGATCGACAGGTCCGTACATTCAAGGATGCCGAGACAATGAGAACAGATATCCTCTGTGACGTATACACAAAGCCAAGTTGGCGCTAAACGCTTTTCGGAAACGAATTTTAATTCCAAGTGCACCGCTGGCGGGCACTACTCATTGCCTCCCACTCCTTCACCAAGCGCATAAAACGTGAACGGTATTGGGTTAATAGTCATTTATTTTTACTTTTAAATTTAAAAATTCGCTGTTTTGCGCGCTCCCCTTTAAAAGGCACCTGGGACACATACTTGCCCCACCCTAGATACGCGTCTGATTATACATACTATAGCCGCGGCATTAATAAATAGTAATATTTATTAACGCTATATAGGTATTTATTTCTATCATTTATTTTTGACTTATTCATAATTTTTTATTTAAAAAAATTTACATTAAGTACGTTTGAAGTTGTTGAAACATTCACCAAGCGCAGAAATCGTGAATTGAAATTGGATTTCTTATCATTTATTTTGACTTTTAAATTTAAAAATTCGCTCTTTTGTGCGCTCTAAGGTACGTTTGAAGTTTTTGAAACATAATAATTTCACTCGGACAAATTGTCCGACTACGTAAGTTCAACTTCGACTAAGAAGTCAATCGATCGATCCTTTCGTTTTCAAAACTTTAAAACAAGAGTATAAGCAGCGCGTGTTGTTATCGATAAACCTAGTTAACGAATAGTGTTTCCCATAATTCTTTCATCAATAAAAATTCTGCAACCTGAACTTCGCACATAAAAAAATGTATGCAGCCGCTTTTCTATGTGTTCTCTGTATTACAAAAAGTTAATGCAATAATTCTGTTTGCTTGCAAGTCATCCTAATCTGGTTAAAAATGCCTCTGATCTATAATGTTAATGGGAACTTTACGCTTAGTTCTCTCTTATTTAAACAACTCGAGTGCGGTTGTGACGACTACGGGTATTTTTTTTTAAATTTTAATCCCACGTTTTCTTCTGTCTTCCAGCTGATTTTCTAGATAAATTATACACGGACAAACGTTCTTTACTCGTAAAAAATATTTGTTAGACTCGCAATCCCAAGCCTAAGCCGTTATATTCGTAGCTATCTACCAAATTTATCTATTTATTTATTATTTCTGGCAAACTGTTTGCGAAATCTGGAACCCTATTCTAATTCAATTACTTCTTGAATAAGGGTTGTGGCATATTCATATTATTATATTTATTTTCAGCTTCAGTATAATTTTAAGTCTACACATTGCAGGGTTAGTTAGAAATGGTTTCCTGGATAGAGCAAAATATGGCATCTCTTAAGATATTTTTTTTTTTTACTTTGAAAACCAACCAGAATGCATAAGCATCCAAAATCTCT